AAAAAATACATAACTATTTTATAGAAGTGAATCTATATCTTTTAGTGCCCGCCCTCCCGCGCTGGGGGAGTCCTGTCCACACTGTCCTCCCTCCGGCCAGGTTGTGACCCAGAGTCCAGCCAAGCCGCCCACCCACGCCGGCCCCCTCTCTTCTCAGATACAACGTGGATTCCAGAACCAATCTCTCCAAGCCGGTGAGGAGCGCGCTGTTGACCCGGCCCCAGGCTCCTTTCCCCCAACCCACCCTCCTGGTCCTCTGTGCGCCTCATTCCTGTTCTCTTCCTTCCCGCCGCCGCCGGGACGCACAGAAGGTGAGGCTGGGCTTGGGCTACAGACCCCTCCTCCCTCCCTGGGGCTGGGGCGAGCCTCGCTGACTCCGGTGTCCTGCGTAGGATTTCCTGGGACAAGCGTTCCTGGCGCTAGGAGAGGTGATTGGAGGCCAGGGAAGCCGCGTGGAGCGACCCCTCACGTGAGCCGAATGGGAAGGGTGTGGGAGGGGCGCTGCCCGGGGTCCCTCGCGGGACGCTGTGACCCTCGTGGATCGTGAAGCGGGGAAGGGCCCAGTCTGTCCCTGCTGTGAGAGTCCATCCCTAGAGCACTGCTCACACCAGTCCGGGCCCGTGTATCCTCTGTCTCCACTTTGTTTTTAAGTCTGATTCAGCTTTTAAAACCCCTGTTCCAGCCGGGTGTGGGCGCACGCCTGTAATCCCAGCACTCGGGAGGCTGAGGCAGGAGGATTGCTGCGAGTTCGAGACCAGCCTGGGGTACACAGTGAGTTCCAGAGCAGTCTGGACTACATAATGAGACCCAGTCTCAAAAAAATAAATAAATAAAAATAAAACCCCTTTTCCAAGCTCCTCTCCACTGGGCACCTTTCCACCCCCCCCATCAAAGCTGTGTTGCCTTATCCTACTCCAGACCCTGTTCTAGGCACCAGGGATTCGCCTGCTCTTACAGTCCTACTTGGCACCCACTCAGCCAGTGTTCAAGAGCCAGGGTTTACCGTGGCGAATGGCAAAAGGGTTCCTGCTCCCTGGAAGCTGGAGCTTCAGTGCAGCTGGGCCTGTGAAACTGCAAAACAGACCTAGCAAATCACACAGATGGTAAAGGCAAAGCCCGGCAGCTGAAGAAAGAAGGAAAGCTGGGTGGATGGGAGTGGAGCAGCTGGAGGAGGAGAGGGAGGAGGTGCGGAACCTCAGGAACAGTGCAGTGCTCTAGACAGAGGAAACTGTTGGTCGGAAGTCAGGTTTGTTCAAAGAGCAGCAGGGATGGGGAGGCTGGCGCGTGGAGGGGGTGAACCTAGAAGAGGGAGCCAGTTAGCAAGGGATTGGGATCACGCAGGGTGGCAGCAGTGATAGACTGGGGCCATATTTCATTCGACACTGAGCGGAGGTGTCTGGTGGGCAGTCAGAAACATGAGTCTCAGATGTTCCTTTTAAGGCCATGAGACTTGCTCACTCCTCTTACCTGCCTTCTTAAGAAATTGCTGTTGTTAAGCTTTTTATTTTCTACTGAAGGCACACAGCTGAATAAGTACAGGAGTTGATGTTTGCCATCTGAGTCTTGCAGGACTAAAGATATATTGCATATCAGGCATAATAGTGTAAAAAAAAGCTTAAATGGATTGGTGTTTTAGGAGCAAACTCCCTACTCATGCAAAAATGACTGAAAATTGTGCCTTTTTTTTTTTAAACAAAGGAGTTGGAGTGTAGCTCAGTGGTCCTGTGCACCAAGTGGATGAGGTGCTGAGTTTCGTCCCAGCGCTGCAGAGGCCTCCAAATGCTGTCACGGGTCAAATAAATGAAGGATCAGGGATTGCCAAGGGTTTAGCAGGATGGAGATCACCAGGGCAAGTGCGGTTTTGAAGGAGAGCGGACGCTGAAGAGGTTTAGAAGAGGGAAATAGGAGCTGAGGGATCTTTTGGAGAGTTTTGATGCAAAGGGAGAAAAGGAGAAATGGCTGGAGCAGGAACCAAGGTGGACGGTTCTTGTTTTGCAGTCCCGGGGATTGCACCTACACCCTTTGTACTGAGCCACATCCCTGACTTTTATTTTGAGACAGGATCTCACTGAGTTGCTAAATTGCCCAGGCTGGGCTCCAACGTGCCATCCTCCTGCTGTAGCTTCCCTGAATCCTGAGACTACAGAATTAATTACAGCCCACACTGGGGCTGCCACCCAGGGCTTAGCACATTCTGGGCCAGCACTCTACCCCCAAACTACACCCCAGGCCCTAGGTCTGTAATTTTTTAACTTGAGAAAAAGTACACCGCATGAATATTGATGAGAGAATGACCCACTAGACACCAGGGGAAAAATTAAGTCATGAAAAAAGGGGAACTGCTGGAGTGAAGTCCTGGTGCAGGGTAGAAAGCAATACTCAGCACAGGGGTGGACGGCACAAGGACAGCTCACTCACTGCCCTCGCAGGAAGGTGCAGCCGGGGTAGGTGTGCTGGTGGGTGGACTTTCTCTCCTGGTTGCTTCCCTGTTGTCAGCACATAGGAAATGAGGTCGTGGCCCAACATGAAGATGGGGGAGGAGCTTGGGGCCTGAGGAAAACCAGAGGGAAACTGCTGTGTACCAGAAGTGGAGAGCCAGGCCTCGGGAGGTACCACACGGGACTGTGTGGGCTGCTCCAGCAGCAGTCTGTGGGTGCAGCACGGTTAGGCTGAGTTAGACTTAACAGGCCGCGCTCCTGAAGTATGTTTAAAATGAGAAAGGGGGGCCGGGGACTTACCTCAGTGGTTCCACCATCTACCTCGAAAGCACAAGGTCCCAAGTTCAGTCCCTGGTATGTAAATTAGTAAGTAAAGCGAGAAAGGGAATGGGAAGGAGGCAGCATGCAGAGGAGGACTTGTCATAACCACTGAGTGCAGCTCACACTGGCAAGGTGGGAGGACACATCAAGGGTCAGGCAGCCGAAAGGCTGCGTTGTCTGGTGTGAACATTCCTGGCCTCATCCGCTTCCTCTTGTGAGTGCAGAACCAAGATTTGAAGGAGTTAGAGAAATAGTCTCTTTGTCTCTGCCCGCTCCCCAACCCACCTCCCCTCTCTTTTTTTCCCAGTACTGGGATTGAACCCAAGCCCTTTTAGTTTGAGACAGGGTCCCATGTCATTAGGTTGCCCAGGCTGGGCAATTTGTGATCTTCCTGCCTCAGCCTCCCAAATGCCAGCACTATAGGCATGTATAATATGCCCAGCTCCCTTGTCTTTTTTCATTTCCTTTTCTTTGTCTTCAGAAAGCTTGGCAGCTTTGACCTAACAATCCAGCCTTTTTCCCTGGGTCTGGGTTGAAGCTACTCCCGCTCTCAGAACTGCTGCAGTATGTGGGCCTCAGTGTCCTGCTTCCTCCTGGAGCTCCCAGTGGGTGGGGCCCAGCAGAGCTGTAGAGCACCACCTGCCTGGGGACCACTTGGCATCACAGTGGTGTGTGATAGGCACTAGGGTGGGCAGGAAGAATGTAACCACACTATCTTTCTTGCTTATGAATGGCTTTTCTAAGTTAGGTGTGATGGTACACATCTCCCTACTTCTCTGGAGGCTAAATCAGGAAGATTGAAAGCTAGAGGCCACATTGGGGACCTGAGACCCTGCCTCAAAATGAAATTAAATATTAAAAACAGGGGTGGGATGTAGCTCAGTGGTAGAGAACCCCTGATCAAACCCCACTACTGCCACACATAAAAAAGAAAAGCAGGAAGGAAGAGATTACCTGTTCATCCATGAACTCATTCAGATAACTTCACAGTGATCATGAGAAAAATGGGAAGGTGATAGGAAGGGAAAGTAACCTGCTGAGTGTCACTGCCTGGAAATCTAATGTTCATCTCATTGAGTGTGATCCCAAGACTTCCGGTCTCCCTAGGCTGTTCATCCCCTCCTGCCAGACCACAGACCCCTCCCAGGTCACAGCCAGGCCTCTTGGCAGGAGCCACCTGCCCGGCACACGGGATACCCGGGGGACTGTCAGGAGTGGCAAATTGGAGCCCTGGCTGCCAGCCTCAGCCTGGTGCCCCGGCACCGTGCCTGCCGGTCCTGTTTTCACTGATCGGGTTTCTCTGCTTGCAGGGGTGTGCCGGGCAAGAAGTGTGGGACCATCCTGCTGACCGCGGAGGAGCTCAGCAACTGTCGGGTGAGTGGGGCCACATGCAGACCCAGGGGCGCCCTTCCCTGCCCATGTGCCCTGTGGCAGACTGTCCCTAGGCAACAGCCACCTCTCTCCCTCCCCAGGACATTGCCACCATGCAGCTGTGTGCAAACAAGCTGGACAAGAAGGACTTCTTCGGAAAGTCAGACCCCTTCCTCGTGTTCTACAGGAGCAATGAGGATGGAACGTGGGTCACTTCCTCTCCGCCCTCAAGCGTGGTGTGGGGCATGTGCATAACACGTGGGGAATCTCAGGGTCTCCGGCCCCCAGGGCAGGTTCCAGGCCTCTTGTTCCCTCCAGGTTCACCATCTGCCACAAGACCGAGGTTGTGAAGAACACGCTGAACCCCGTGTGGCAGCCCTTCAGCATCCCTGTGAGGGCGCTGTGCAATGGAGACTACGACAGGTCTGCTTCGGCATGAGCCGAGCCGGGGAGGAAGGGAGTCAGCACAGAGGACTGAGGCTCCTGGGGCCTCAGAGGGCGGACTGGGCAGGCAAGCGGGCGGATAGGCGGCGAGGTGGTCCGATGGGTAGATGCACTAATGGATGGCTAAAGGAGGACAGACACAGGACAGGACTGGCGGATAGGCACTGGGAGGGGTGTATGCATGGGGAGAAGATGAACAGGTAACTGGACTGATGGTGCAGCCAACGATAAGTAAATGGGTAGGTGAGCTGAGGAATGAGTGCACGAGAGTTGGCAGATGACGGGAGAGAGAGATGGACGGATGGATGAAAAAGCGAGTGGAATAGAAAAGGACAGTGGAGTGACAGGCAGGTTGATGGACAGGCGGGTGGCAAAAGGAAGGATGGATGGATTTGTTGGTGGATGAGCATAAGGCAGAGAGGCTGACCAGAAGAATTACGAACCGGCAGTAGGCAGATAGGCAGCCAGGTAGGCGGATGGAAGGAGTGGCTGTGCAAAGGGGCGGGCGACCGGATGGACAGATGCTGTTCTTGTGTTGATGTTTGGTTGGGTAGATGAATAGACAGACACACGGGGGTGCTTGTGCGTGTCGGTGAGTGGCTGCGTGTAGAGTTGGACGAAGAGACAGATTACTAGGTAAGTGGGTTGGCCGGATATATGGGTAAATGGGTGGTTAGGCGGGTAGGTAGATGATTAAATGGACTGATGTACTGACTGACAGGCGTACAGCATGCTAGTTTAGGACAGGCCTTTGGAGCTGGGACATCAGAGTTTTAGTAGCAGCTCAGCCACTTACTAGTGCTAGGATCTTAGCCAAGTTATGTCTTTTTCTGTATCTCAGTTTCCCGTATCCAAAAGCCTGAATAATGGCATTTATTTTATGCAGAGTGGTGGTAAATTAAATAAGACAATCTAGCCAGGTGTGGTAGCACATGCCTGTAATTTTAGCACTCTGGGAGGCTGAGACAGGAGGATCACAAGTTTGAGCCAGCTTGAGCAACTTAGCAAGACCCTGTCTCAAAAGCAAAAATACAGAGAACTTGAAACAGAGCTCAGCAGAAAGGTCCTGGGTTCAATCCACAGAGAGAGGCGGTGGGAGGAGAAAAAGAGGGAGAAAATCTGTGGGAGTGCTGCGAACAATGCCTGACAGTCAGTCTCACTGGAATGATGGCAGAATGGCAGTGATGGTGTCAGGAGCGGTGGCAGTCATACTGAGGTAGACAGGTACACATCTGGGCTGCCGAATGGAAGGGTGGGAGGAAGGCTGAACAGGCTGATGGACGGGTGAATGAGCGAGTGGGAAAGTTACTCGTATGCAGCTAAAGTGAGTGGGGTGTTTGGCACTCGCCGGACATGTCAGCCTGTTTTCCTGTGCGTTTCAGAACTGTGAAGATTGACGTGTATGACTGGGACCGAGATGGAAGGTAGAACTGCCCCGCTGTGTCCTGGCTGCTGCCCTGAACCCACACACTTCTCTGTCATGTGTGGCCCGTGTGTGAAGCAGCCTTGGGTGCCAGCGAGGGTTGGGAATCTCTCTGGCATGCTGTCGCCTCCCTTTTCTTCCCTCTGGTCCTGGCCCTGCTGCCCTGCAGCCCAACTAGGAGCTTAGGGTAGGGGAGTAGAGAGCAGACGCCGGCCTGGCGGCAGGCGCTCACCCACCCCACATCACTGCAGCCACGACTTCATTGGTGAGTTCACCACCAGCTACCGGGAGCTGAGCAAGGCCCAGAACCAGTTTACAGTCTACGAGGTGAGCGCCCTAGCCCACAGGCCTCCAGTACAGCCTGAAGCCCCTTCCATTCCCCACACCGCTGTTGCCTGCCCTGCTTAGGTACTGAACCCACGGAAGAAGTGCAAGAAGAAGAAATACTTGAACTCGGGAACCGTGAGTGCTCCCTGGGGTGGGTCCCCTGCCCTCCTTGGGTACAGATGGCCTAGTTATAGTAATATTGGCCACAAGGTGGCGCCACTGGAGGGAGAGGGAGAGAGAGAGAGAGAGAGAGAGAGAGAGAGAGAGAGAGAGAGTGTGTGTGCGTGTGTGTGTGTGTGTGTGTGTGTGTGTGTGTGTGTTTGTGTGTGCGCGCGCGCAGAAACAAGGAAACAACCAAAAAACACCTCAGGTTGCATTTCAAAATTTAATACACCTGTTGAAATACTGCCTTTAGACAGTGAACAGGTGAGACAGGTAGGGCACAGCACGAAGTCATGCCCTCGCCAAGTGGCAGGGCCGCCTCTTCTGTCCCACAGGTGACGTTGCTGTCCTTCTCAGTGGACTCTGAATTCACTTTTGTCGACTACATCAAGGGAGGGTGAGTCACACACCAAGCTCTGGGCTGAAAGCCCAAGGCCAGGCTTTCTTATTTCTGAATGAGATCGTGGTGATAAACTAGGCAGACTGTCAAGTGCTTTGTAAAGTTCTGTTCAGGGCATTGCCTTGCACTCAGAGCATCTGGCCCCTCTGGGAGGGAGGCTGCTGGACTGGGCTTCAGGAGGCCCTTGGTACTCTCAGGGAACAGTTGTGGCCTGGTGGGGTGTAGCTCAGTAGCGCAGTGGCACAGCGGTCTTAGTTTGCACAAGACGCTGTGGTCCTTCCCTAGCACACGCACAATCACAGGTGCACAGAGGAGGTGGCTGAGAGAGGGAAAGCCAAGCTGATGGCAGAGTGGAGGGCTGTGGTTTGTTTACTGTAAGCAGGTAGACCTGAGAAATATACTTTGCTTTGATGAAACACTTTTCTCCTAGGTAAAATGGAGATGTTAATTACTACTTCAGGGCTATAATAAGGGTTAAATTAAATACATCTCATACGCTGTCACAGAGTAGGCGTTTAATTCTGGTACCCAAAATTCGGTCCAGCATTTGAGGTTCGTTGACTCCACCCAGACCACCTGTATCAGACTGCATTTTAACATGAGCCGTAGGTGTTCTGAATACACAATAATGTTTGAGAAATACTGGAGGAGCCATGCAGTGCTGCAGGCCTGGCATCCCAGGCCGTAGGAGGCTGAGGCAGGAGGGTCGCAAGTTCTAGTCCAGCCTAGGCAACTTAGTCAAACCCTGGCTCAGATTTTTTTTTTTTAATTTAAGGCTGGGCATGGTGGTTCACACCTGTAATCGAGGATCACTATGAGTTTGAGGCCAACCTGGGCTGCATAGTGAGTTCAAGAACAGCCTGAATTACATAATGAGAGCCTATCTCAAAAAACAAAAACAGCTGGGGATTTAGCTCAGTGATGCTGATGCCTGCTTCGCAAGTGCAAGGTCCCGAGTTCGATCCCTGGTACAAAAAAAAAAAAAAAAAC